GGGGGTGCCCATGGCGGGGGTGTCCGCTGGGTGCTCCAGAGGGGCGGGCAGGCGCTGGCAGTCAGTGTAGAGTCCCCACCTCATGTCACCCCGAGGCTGAGCCAGGAGTCATTCGAAGGCCTTGGGATCTGACAGGGAAGTTTCATGTTCTTTGGTAACAAGAAATAAACAAGTGAACAGCCCATGGGTGTAGTCAGGGCTCCCGAGGCACCCAGGCTCCCTCCTGACCGGTGGTCCTTGCGGAAGAGGAAGCGGATCCCTGGGCAGGGGCAGGGCTGTGGGGAGGGGAGTGGGCACTGCCGCCACGTCTGCTCTGCCCTCCTGGTACGTTCTAGAAGTTGCTGTTTGGGTGGGCAGGGGTGGGGAGGTGCCTGGATTCAGGAGCCCACGATGGGCTCATGGACGGAGGGACCGATCTGGTCTTCCCTGACTCCTGTGTGCAGGTCTCGTCATAGGCGCGGCCCACCTTAAATCGTAGTCACCGTTCAGTGCCACGGTTCAGTGCCAGGCCACACCCCCAGCGACATGAGGATAACTGCACGTGCAGGCCCGTTGGTTTAGTCCTCGAACCTTCTCCCCTCCTGGGCTGCACCCCCTCCTGCTGGCTGCACCCCCTCTCCTGCCAGCTGCACCCCTTCTCCTGCTGGCTGTACCCCCTCTCCTGCCAAGCTGTACCCCCTCTCCTGCAGGCTGTACCCCCTCTCCTGCTAGGCTGCACCTTCTCCCCAGTTTGGTTCTGGCACCCGCACAGAGCTGGGCAGCGGCCACACCCGGGATGAGCTGTCTGCCACCAGAACCCTGCTGGCTGCACCCCTCTCCTGCAGGCTGCACCCCTCTCCTGCTGGCTGCACCCCTCTCCTGCAGGCTGTACCCCCTCTCCTGCTGGCTGCACCCCTCTCCTGCAGGCTGCACCCCTCTCCTGCCGGCTGCACCCCTCTCCTGCTGGCTGTACCCCTTCTCCTGCTGGCTGCACCCCTCTCCTGCCGGCTGCACCCCCTCTCCTGCAGGCTGCACCCTCTCTCCTGCTGGCTGCACCCCTCTCCTGCTGGCTGTACCCCCTCTCCTGCTAGGCTGCACCTTCTCCCCAGTTTGGTTCTGGCACCCGCACAGAGCTGGGCAGCGGCCACACCCGGGATGAGCTGTCTGCCACCAGAACCCCCAACTCTGCCGCCAGGGAGCCGAGGGGTCTGATGGGACCAGGTGCTCAATGGCACCAGCATGTCCGTGGAGCTCAGCAAATGGCACCCTTGGACCCCCTGGGGCCGGCACCAGGTTGGGCCTCCTGAGCTCCTGGTGGCCTGCCATTGACCGCTGCCCCTGGCCAAGCTCTGGGCTCCTCCTGGCCCTGCCCTCGCTGAAGACCCCCCAGCAGGTCCCCCACCAGCCGGGTTTCCAGGCCTCGGGCAGCCTGCAGGCCCAGGCCTCCCAGTGGTAGCGAACCCCATTCCCTTCCTGCTGGTGGCAGTGCCAGCCCCGCCTCCCCTTCCCCAGCTCAGCCTGGCAGAGGCCGCCCACTGGCCTGAGGGGCACCCCAGGGGACAGGGCTCATTCCCAAGCCACCCGCTGTGCAACCCGAGCCAGGGGCTCCCTTTCCCACCCCCCACGTCTTCCTTCTCCCCCAGAAAAACAGGGAGACCGAGTCCCCGCCGGGCATGCGCCTTTGTGTGCCAGC